CGACAGGGTGGGGGCCCCTTCTAAGGTTTAGGGCTCATAGGCTTTATGGTGTTTCGGGTTTCGAGTTCAGGGTTTCGAAGTGTAGGGGCCTGGGGTTTAGGATTACCGGGTACCAACCTCGCCCGCTTCGAGCTGAAACTGCGTGCAGGAGCAATGAAGTTGATGTTCTCGGAGGGAGTATGGAGGCTGAGTAGACACAGAGATTCTGAACTCAAGTGAACTCAGGGTTCGAGCTAGAGGTTTAGGGATTGCCGCCACCTAGCAGAAACCATGCTGAACTCTCCATTCAAACTACAGCATAGTGGCTGAAAGACGGCTCGAGTGCATTCTGCCGAGTCTCCCTAAGATTCCCTAAACCCACAACCCTAAGTCTAAATCCTAAATCCTTCCAAACTCCCTCCAAAACGAGCCCCAACAGCTCGCAGCTGGTGGACGCCGCAAGTTCTCGGAAGAACCATATCCGGCCAAGTCTTCTCGCGCTGTTTCATGGCTGTCCCCTATACCCCTCTAAACCCTGTACTTTAATCTATAAGCCCCTGAATCTGTCTGTATGGGGTGTAGGGCTCCGCACCTCACCGGAAGGCTTCCTCATGGGGTTCTATTAATAATGAAGGGTTCATTGAAGGGTTATCGTCTAAGGCGGTTTCTAAAAGGCTTCCATAATACATGTGCTGTATAGTTAGACTAGGGTTTGGGGGTATAGTTTAGTGTAGTCATAACAACGAACGTAAGGAACAGTATTGCCAATCATTCTGAACCACACACAAGAAGGGCCGCAGAAATAAGAAGAAGAGGTTTTGGGATATAGTGTAGCATATAGGGGCCATCGCAGTATGCTATTTCTGATTGCTCATATTCTACATGAAAATTTGCAACCCAAAGCCTCATGGATCCCCACACAATACCCTCTCTATGTACCTTCAAGACTCACGCAACAAGGGCTCTGGTTGAGCTTGAGGTTTCTGGTAAGGGTCGCGCGACTTGCGATCACCTCTGCAAAAATATCCTTGAACGTCTATCGCGGTCCTGGTTCCGTGCTGATGTACAAGATTCGGGGCTCGTTCTTCAATGCTGCGCTTGAGATTTCACTAGTGGTGTGTAACGTCTCTTCGACCGTTTCGTTCTTCCGAAAACTCACTTCCTTGCGTATCCGTCCGATCTCGAAGCAACGACAGCTTCGAGACGGAATCGCCAGAAATTTCGGCTGGCACTGCCCAGCCGCTTGGGGAGGAGGAGGGCGCCTGCCCCGTTGGGGCCCTGAAAGATATGCCGTTGTTGTCCCTCTACACCAGATCCCTAATGCACAAACTCGAACCAAAATTGAGGTTTAGGGTTTAGGGTCCAAGCCTCTAAATTTTAGACCCTGTACTGCAGGCCCTGCCATTAATTATACAAAAAAACCCAAAACCCTATGACCCTACCCTAAGGCCCCAAAGTAGCTCCTTTTCGGGGTTCGTATATAGAATCCTATAAGGTAATCCCAAAAAGGAACTACCTAGACCCTCCATCTACCCTCTATTAGACCCTAAATGCCCCTTATTTGGGACCATATACCCCTATTTGAGGGTACAAGGAGGGTCCTGGTACGTTGGGGCCTATGGGTAAACCTCAGCCATGAGTCCGATTAGCCCGGAACCCCTGTGAGCACCAGGACCTTCCAAGGCCCAAAACCTTCCCTCGACGTTTGAAAAGAACCTACTTGGAAGGGCAGGGGACTTAGTAAGTAGCTTATAAGTAGGGTTATAATTGGGGTAACTCCATTTAGGGTACTCATAGTTCTACTTATAACCTACTTACTATAAGTCCCATGCCCTTCCAAGTAGGGGTTTAGGGGTTAGGACCCCGCCTTTTTTCAGAAGTCATGTAAGGGGGAGATCTAACCTAGGGGTCTATAGGGGTTAGGATTTAGGACCCCGCCTTTTTTCAGGACTCATGTGAGGGGGAGATCTAGGCAAAGAGCCCTAAAGAGATGGTTTATTCCGGGTTTTGCTCGGAGGTAAGAGCTTCCTCTTCAAAGCTTCTGGCCCGCAGTGGCTTGGTATGCCGTATTCGGGTTTGGGGGTGTTAAAGGTTTGGGGTTTTAGGGTTTAGGGTGGACCCTTTCAGGGGAACCCTTATATGGAACCCTACACAGTTCCCTTAAAACAGGGTTTCAGGGTTTAAGGTTGCTTGGGCGCCGAACATACTGGCAAATGTTGCATAAGACACGCAGAGCCCTAAACCCTAAACCCCAAACCTGAATGTAAAGCCCCGCCAACGAACCGGAAGACTTGCGCATCCCTAGTCCAAACAAAAACAAACCTGTGCGGAAGACCATGACGCCTAAAGTCTCAACCTAAACTTTGAACCCTGAACATAAACTTGCACCCTAACAACCTATACTGTATGAAGCCTGAACCCTAAACCTGCAAGTCCAGAGACAAAGATTCCAGTTGTAAAAGCCTGAACCCTGAACAAATTACTGACATCTATAGAGAATTCCTCCAAGCCGTAAACAAGACCATGCAACACATAGAAGGCCCTATACATTTCATGATGATGATCATGCGGAGTCCTCCTTCTTCCTCCGGAGCCTTTCCAAGCCCCCAAAAAGTTGGAAGCGAATCCCAGGCCAAATCTGCGTTCGCTCTAATTAGGGTAATGCCCCGCATAGTATGACTTCGCTGACACGCTCCATAGCAATACAGTCTATGGCCCACGCCATATACGTGCAACTAACACAAGTCACGGGATAGCGCTGAGTCTCTGTTTAGGATAACTTGACGTTTTTGCCGAATAGTTTCTCCTCAACCTCAACATGGGAGTTTCCGAAAAATTGGGGGGTACCTTATTTTGGGGGTCCTTATAATAAGGATCCTACTGATTGGGGTACTATGTTTGGGTCCCCTATCTTCGGCAACTCCCACTTTTGTAGACATGCATAGCAGGGGTGATGAAGTGCTGAAACTGCAACTTCTCACTAATGGAGTTTCCGGGAAAGACTGATCAGCGAGACCTTTGGGCTGCATCAAGTCCTCAACCCTCCAAGAGCCTTGCACATTCGTTTTCAATGACCACCAAAACTAACCCGATACCTTGAAGCAACCAACAACCCAACCCTAAACCCCAAATAGGGAATGGAAGAATGGTAGTAATAGTACTGTAGTTATAGTTATAATTGTACCCCATTCCTCCAGCAAAGCGTTTCGTGGATTTAGTCTGGGGATCCGCTGCTTGGTGTGTTCGGAAACGGCGCTTGGGCACCGTTGCTGGATACCCTGGAGAAGTCCTGGGAGGAGCTTAGTTTAGGGTTCAGGGTTTAGGTTAGCTGCTCTAGTAATCGGAGGTTTATTTCGTACAGTTCCATAGAAAAGAAGGCTTTTATGCAGGCTTGAACAGGGTTTTCACAGTTTCATAAGGTCTGGAGGTGGGCTCTGGAGTGTTGTTAACTTTCAGGATCGTCTTCAGGGGGGGATTCTTCTACGGCTCATCCTAGACTCTCGAAGTTTGCAACTTCAAGATTCCGTACGGTTAAAGGGTTAAACGGTTTAGGGTGTATTTCGGACTTCAGGGAGGGTTTGCTGTCTGGAAAAATGTAGGGCCCAGCTCTGTTCAAATCGCTGAGGAAGCACAGTTCGGAGTCAGTTAAAGATGTTATCCTGGGGTCCATTTGGGAGTTTCCGAAAATTGGGGGTACCTTGTTTTGGAATAGGGAGCCTACTGTTTAGGGCTTAAGTTACGATATTAGGGTCCCCTAGTTTTCGGAAACCCCCCATTTACCATCTAGCGCGGACCGAGGTAACGGCTCTCAACAATTCTGGGCCACATTGTGGAGACGTTATCAGGACATGTCCTGGTCTAGATGGGTGGTTGTCAAAATTAGGGTCCCGTTTTGGGTCCCTAATATAGTACGGCACCTATTACTTAGGGTACCCAAAAAGGGGCCTTAATTTTGACAATCACCCAGATGTATACACATGAAACAACAGGTGGGGAAAAAGTGTCCCTGAAGGCACGTGGACTAGACTAAAGATCCCACCCGGGAGTAGAAAGCCCAACTAGTACGCAGCCTAGCCGCCTTGAAGCCCAGAGGTACTGTTGATGGACAAAATCCTGCATTACCCATTATAAGGAATATACCATAGTTCCCATAGTTTAGAGTCCTTAGGGTCATGCAGGATTTTGTCCATCAAGAGTAGGGACACACTACCATTTAGCGATGAAGACCTCGTGTTTGAAGATCCAGGCTGGTACTCACATGGCTAGTTCTCTAGATTAGGGTCCCTTGGCAGGTCCCAAATATAGTACGGCATCCTCATTACAAGGACCCAAAAAGGGACCCTGACTTACAGAACTACCCGCAAAGTGGTAGTATCAGCTGCGGCGGTAGCGGCAGTAGCTTAGTGGTTACGGTTCTGAATATTCGTCACGGAAGCAACAGAACTAACTACATCACATAAGTGACACAAACCCGCGAAACAAAACCTCACAACCCCGAATTCTTAAAATCCTAAGCCCTAAACCACTACAGAAAGCCCAAACCCTAAACTACAAGACCCATAATCTATCAAACACGAACCCAACATCCCAGACCTTCCAAAATCCCTTAATTAAGGAATATCCCTTAAAATATAGTAGGATCCTTTATATGATTTAATAAGGTATATTATAAGGGATTTTGGAAGGTCTGGGATTCTCGAACCCTCGTCTCCTGCATCCTCTCGCGCCTTGATTCGGCCGCTTGCCGGCGCGCCTTGCAGCGCGCAGCTCTCCGCTCGTTCCGCCTGCCGTGTCTAATATAGCGGCCTTGATAATAAGAGTAAGTTGTGGGGTATATCATACTATAGTTAGAATAAAGAACCTATTCTTTTTTTTTTTTTTTTGAGCCCCTTTTTCCACCAGCAATCCGTCTTGCCCGTCGAAGGCCCAGAGGCCAGGGGTTGATCCGCCAAGCGAACCAAGAACTGCCTCCCTGCCCTTACCAGCAGAAAGCAGCCCAAACTCAAAACGAACCCCTCTCACTAGTCACCGTGCTCGACCCTTGTAGTAGGCTCCAGGAGGTTCTCCCCGTCCGCCACAGCTACACTCTCTGAGTCGACCGGCTTCGGACGGGAACCAGCATCCACATGCATAGTGACCTCCGGGCTATCCTCGAAGTCCTGTAGAGCTCGGCAAGTCTGGACCATGTGGAGCACCTGGACACCGTAGAGCCGTTCAATCTGGTCCTCGTTCAGGTCGGAGTTGGCCGCGATGGAGCGAACCACATCCAGAGAGATGGCACTGATGTCCCCACCCCACGCATTCCGGTCCCCCTCCAGGTTGGCATGCTCCAAGTCCGGAACCGTATCGGCGATCTCGGAGACTGCGGGCTTGTCGACTGGAGCCATGACCCTCGGTGCCACCAGCTGGGTTGCTATTCCGTCCTGATCGAGCTCGTCTTCCTGCCAAATCCGGAGGCGAAGGTTGGCCGTGCCGTTGGCGTCCAGGGGCACCCGGATGGTGCGCTTGGGTGTGTCCGTGCTGCCACTGCTGACTTCCAACATCATCACCCGGACTTTGGAAGGGGGCTCGGAGGCCTCAGGTGTGCGAAGGCCCTGCAGGTATTGAAGCTCGGCCGCGTCGTGGGGGCTTGGCTCCGGTTGCAGAGGGCCAGGAGGGCTGTCCTCCGTTCGAGCAGCTTCCACCAGGTGATCAATGACACGAGCCGGAAGATCCCCATGAACGGACTGGTCGCCGACTGCCTCCTCTTCCGAGCTGTCCGGCATTGGCTTGGAGAACAGCATGACTGGGCTGCGTTCAGGCGGCAGCCGATGGGCTTGTCGCGAACCCTCGTGTACTGGGAGGTAGAGTTGGAGGCGATGGGCCCACGCAGTGGCCCATTGTGTTTCCTCCTCGTTGCATTGGCCCCAGGTATCAGCGTTGGCGTCTCCCACGAAGGTCGCGAGAACAGCCAGTACTTCCGCAGCGTAGCCCTGACTATGTCCAATCCAGTATCCCCCGGCTGAATTGGCACATCGGTGGGACAGCCAATCGATCAGCCACTCGGCCATGCACGGCGAGCTGGCTTTACCCACTTCCTCTAGGTCGTGTAGTAGCTGTTGGAGCAGGGTCTGGAAGGAGGAGGGCATCTGCATGTAGACGCTTTCGTCGGTGTCCTCGCCTCGTTCGCGGGCCTGTTCGTCCCGTTCTTGTTGGGCAGCAACTCGAATGGCCTCGCCCATGCTGGCGAGGAGGTTCAAGGCCACCCGGTGCACTGCTAGCATGAGGACTTGGCGGTCTTGGATGCCATGGTCAAGGAATGTGTCGCCAATGCTGGACATGGTGGCCTCAGGCAGGAAATGGTTGCCCACTTCCTCCTCAATGTGGCGCATGCCCAAAGTAAGCATCCACGTATCGACTGCCGAGTCCAGGGACATGGGGAGGAACAGGTCGTCCGATGATGTGGCGGCGGCTGCAGAGGCGGGCAGCGCGGCCGGGGCAGCATGTGGGCCGGTACGGCGGGGCGCAGGCCTGGCTCTAGGCTTCGGTCCACGGGCATGCGGGCCTGTGGCCCGAGCTTCCGAGCCGTGTGTGCTCTTTGTGGCCGCTGTCCTGGCTAAGTTGACCGTCTCCGCTGTGCAGGTCGCTCTGTTCGATCGACTGGGTTCGCGGCGTAGGGGTCGACGTGCTGTCGTTGTGGTTGCAGGGTTCATCCGACGCCTTCGCGTGGGTCCATGCTTGAGCCACCGCTGTCGGGGTCGCTGTGCGAGGCTCGTTTCATCATCCATTGGCAGGGATCCCGAAGACGAGGAGGAGCTCGAACCAGGAGGTAGTCCCTCTGTATCGAGGCCATGTAGAACAAAGGCCCTCCACAAGTCTTCCTCCAAGCGGGATGCCCAGTCCGCTGTGTCGCAGCTGCATAGTTCGTCGCCTCCCGGGTAGGTGCCAATTTGGGATTGAATGGCTGCAAGGTACCTTCGTGCAGCGGACTCGTACTCTGCAAAGCGTCTCTCAAGCACACACGCCCGCAGTAGTGGCACACAACATCCAGTGTGGTAACCCTGATAGTGGAGGTCGTGGATGTGTTGTACTGCCGAGCCTGTCCACTGCAAGCGGTGCCCGCGGTTGGAGACAGCAGGGAGTGGGGCTTGGCGTAGTTGCAGAATGAGCTCACTCGGTCGCCGTATTTGGTTGAATTGTTCTCGTCGGGCTCGAAGGTCAAGACTTTCTCTGCGCTGTTGAGGAAGGTCGGCATCGAGCGGGAGGCCGCCCGACATCGCCATGGTGTGTAGGGCGAGCTCATTCGCGTGGTGGTCGATGAGGAACTCACCCATCATATGTCGTTCCACATATTCAACCCACTCCGCGACGTCCTGCATAACCACCCCGGGATGCTGATGCGTGATGGGGTTGTCGGTGAGGAGGCAGATGATTTGGACCATTCCCACCGTAAAGTCAGTGTAGGGTTGAACCTGGCGGGACGCAATCGCTGCATTGAGGAGGCCGATGAGGTCAGAGCCCGGTACTCCCCGCTGTTGGAGTGTGGTGGCGACCTGTGCGGCAGCTACCATCCAGTGAGGCAGTTGCACATCCTGATCATCCGGAGGTTGGGCAGCTATCGGGGCCAGCAGGAGACCGAGACAGGCTGTACTGCGGGTGGAGGCCAGGCAGACTCCGAGGGCGAGCTCGCGGATGTGGACACCAAGGTGTAGGGAGCCACTTTGTTGGCTCAGATGCCATAGGATGCGCTCCCAGCTGGAAGCCCATGCTTGGTAGTGGGACGGAGGAATCGAGGTGGTGAGGTTGGCCAAGTCAGAAGTCAAGGCCCATGCCGTGTGAACCTGACGGTGTGCCCATCCCGCGTGTGGTCCGTAGTCTCGGAGGCAAACTTGTTGGGAGATAGCCTGGACCAGGCCTGCCGTTTTGTAGCCCTGAGCGTGGAAGCAGTGGATGTCGTGGACCACCGAGGCTGACCAGGATCGAGGTAGAGGTCGTCCGGGGTGTCGCGGGGGTCGTCGTGCAGGTCCTTGTGTGATCAGGTGGTTTACCCCAGAGCCATGACCTGGCAGGGGGTCACACTGGTTATTGCCCATGCGCGTCCGGACGTCCCAGTCCATGACATAGTCCGGGAAGTAGGCGACGAGGTACTCGAGCAGGAAGTGCCGCTCAGCATATTCAATCCAGTCCGCAATCCGGGGTCCAAGGCAGAGTCGGTCAGGGGGCGAAGCGGAGCTCGTCGCCGAATCCAGCCATGTGAGTGCGGGGGAGGAGATCTCCTGGCGAAGCTGGTCGGAGACATCACGCAGAATGGGGCCGACATACGCCGTGTAGCCCGGGGAAGACCTTCCGCTAACCACCGAGATCAAGTCCAGCAGCATATGTTCCAAGCTTCCCCCATCCCGAAGTATAGCGCGTCCCTGGCTGACCGTGTCGATGTACCATTGCGGCGGCCACTCGCCAAAGAAGGGGGAGGTAGGAGCCGCCAAAGCTCGAGGAGCTGGTCCGAGAGTGATGCCGATGAGGTAGAGAGCGGCCCGAGGGGTCGAGTCAAGGTTATCAAGTGCGGCCCACAGCGTGGCGGGGGCCGTCGGGACGAGGCGCACATCCCAAAGGAGGGCGCGCGAAAAGAGCAAGTGTAGAAGTCGAAGCATGGGCAGGTACTCGGGGAGTTTTCCTCTGCATCCACGGGAGGTCTCGAGCCGAGAATTCTGTCAGGAGGTCCCTTCATTCGATCGTCGGCTTCAAACCCTCAACCCTGGCGGTTGTTGTATACATTGAGCAGGTCGTCAAGGAAGAAGTACTGCACTCAGGTGTCTAGGCTGTAATGACCCTATTCAGCAGTGAGGCAAAGCTGCAACCCTGAAGCCCACGCCAAGTCCTGCTGATGGAGCCACGTGTGAAGGCGCTCACCCCAAACCCTCCTGTTGTGCGCCGAAACCCTCCACGGCCCGGAGCAGGCCTTGTCCATAGCCCTTTCCAGGTTCATCAGGCGGGGGTAGAAAGGCGCTGGATGTAGGACTCCTGTCGGTCGTTTTTGGCGCTGCCACCACTCTAAGGTTCGCACAGCGTCCAACACGGCACTGAAAGGCGGCACCGGACGAAGCAGTGATCTGACCCTATGCCCTGCATAACCCCACCATCGCTGTAACCAGACTGTGGACCAACGAGGTAACCCCGCCTTCACTAGCATGGCCCGTGCAGACCTGACAATGCGGAGGCGGTAGGCCAGCCACTCCTCGCCCTTGCGCTTGCCGAGACGGAGGAGCCAGCCTATCAGGAGGTTTTGTTGGGTATTGACCGCCTTTAAGGCGCCGCGCTCCGGTGGGAAGGCGGAACAGCACCACAAGGCGGAGTTGGTCACAACCCTATGCATGAGCTGAAGTCGGGACACTGCTGACACCTTGCTTCGAAATAGGTGCTTCAACGACCAGAACTTGTTCTGAGCCCTGATCAGCATCGGATGCATCATCGCAGTCACGGAAGTCCCTTGTGCGAAGGTAATCCCCATAACCTCTAAGCCCTCTTTGCCCCGAAGGACCGTGTCCTCGATCTGGAGTTGGTGGGGGAGGGGGCAGGCGGGAGTGCAGTAGAGTTGACACTTGCCCAGGTTGAGAGAGAGGCCGTAAGTGGCGAGGACCGCGGAGAAGTCTCGTATCTTTTTGGTCAAGTCAGTGCAATCCCTAGCCCAGAGGATCCCGTCGTCCATGAAAAGGAGGTCGGAAGAGCCCAGTTCCTGAAGAACCCTGCGCATATTACCCCACTCGTACTTGTCACCGGCTTCTTGAAGTGCCACTTCCATGATGAACCCAAACAGCATGGGGCTTTCCGAAGCCCCCTGCTTTATGCCGGAAAGCATGTTAATTTCCGATGATCCCCACATGGTCTGAAGCAAGGCCTTGACGTCCAAGAGCAATGCCTGCAGGGCGAAGAATTCGGCCGTGTCTCCGAGGCGGTCATGGAGGCGTTCCAGAAGAGCCTGACGATTGAGGGAGTCAAAGGCCTTACTCACATCAATCTTCAAGAAGGAAACAGGGAGAGCCCACTCACGGCTCAGTTCAAGCAGCCGATGGATGCAGAAAAGGAAATCGGCGGTTTGGCGGCCTCCTCCAGCGCATTGCGAAGAAGTTCTGAAACCCAATGAGTCTTTCACCCTGGCGAGGATCATTTTGGCGAACAGTTTCGCCGCACTGCTTCCTAGCGCGATCGGCCGGAGTTGGGTAGGAGACACCGGAGAGGGAACTTTAGGTAGTAGGATAACCAAGGGCCTATTCCACGCTCGCGGAATCTCGCGTGTAGTGAGCACGCGATTCAGGAACTCCAAGAGGTGCATGCGGCCACCGTCCACCGTGATCATCCCCCGTAGAAGTTCTGCACTTGTAAGGTCAACTCCTACCGACTTCCCAGCCTTCAGCCCATCCAGCGCAGTTTGAAGTTCCTGGGTTGAGAAAGCCGTGACCGGGACGGCCTTGTCCTTGTAGGGGCGAAGGGGCGAGCCAGAGTACACCTTGGCTAGGTGATCATGAACGGTGAGGTGGACGTCCTTGGACTGTGCTTCGGCATAGTCGATTTCCCATCCCAGAGGCCCCTGGCGTTTCACCTCTCGGAATGCCGCCCAGTCCCCCTGAGCAGCACGGGCCAGCCTCGCGCGTTCCCATGCTTTCCGCGCCTGGCGCCTGGAGTCCATAGCCTGTTTCCATGCTTCTCTGGATTTGAGATGCCGAGCCCTTCGGAATCGTGCCTTGACTTCCTCAGGGTCGCGGTAAGCTTGGCTTGGTCGCGGCTTGGTGTGGTGCCGCGCGAGGTGCTCCAAAACCCCTTGGTCGACATAGTCGATCTGGTCCATGCCTCCTGTCCACACGCGCGGCCCTGTGGCACACCTCTTCCGAAGTTTGCCCTGGCGAATGCGAAAAAGTCCACATAAGACCTCATGATCAGTGCCGATGAGCATACAGGAGTCAACCATGACTTCGACCCTAGCCCTGAGAACCCTCTGAACTGCAAAGAGGTCGATGTGATGGCCCTTGCGATCAGCCTGCCGAGGCCTGCTGGTAGGTAGAGCTTGGTGTGATCGAAGAGGGGCTGCAGCCGTCAGACCCGTGGCCGACAGCCGGTCGCTGAAAAGGAGCGATCGCCCGTCGGTGCTGGAGGCTTTGTCGCCATCGGGTGCCTGGCACCAGTGAAAGTGTGCATTCACATCACCTTGGATTATGATCGGTAGGGTAGTGCTTGGCTTCTTCCCTAGAAACTGGATCAAAGCCGCTTCGAACTCCGCCAACGGGGTCCCTGGGGCGAAGTAGAAGACTCCGCACCAAATCTGAGTGGTAGAGTGCAAGCTCTGGAGGTGGAACCAACACCCGTGGCCCGCGGCAACACGTTTTCGCAGGGCCCAGGCCGTCTCACTGAAGGCGATTCCCACTCCTCTCCACTGACGTTTGTCACGATGGTGAACGTAGAGCCGGTCTTCGACCCTTTCGCGCGACCACCCTGCTGCTCTGCGAGGAAACTCTTGAAACAGGAAGATGTCGTCAGCAAGGGCGGGACCTCTGGAGATGTCCCCCAGGGCTGGCTTGATGCTTTCCAAGGCCGCGCCTCCCAGGTTCCATCCGAAGACCCTAATTTCACACTGCTGACCGGGTTGTGCCGTGCCACCTGTGCCTTGAGCGAAGGAGTCATGGTTGCCCGCAAATTTATCACCGTGCATTGCATCTAATTCCCTGCTAGTCGCGCTATACAGAGGGGCCTCGATCTCAGCCCCAACGGCCAGCAGGCGCTCATAGGCCGCATCCATGGATCAGCGTTTCTGGGCGTCCAAAGTAGCCCGGATCACATCCTCCTTGCACTTGGTCTCTTTGGCCAGGAGACGCGCGTTGACCCACCCTTTTGCCACACCCTTCTCGTGCACCACAATGTCGCTGGCATCTGTGCCAGGTGGGATAGGTCGCCCCACACTGGCAACGAGCGAGCTGCCAAGCCAGACCGTGCCTGACCCGTACTCGCAATCAAGTATGTCAAGACGAGCTTCCGCAACCTGTTGCACTGTCCGGCGGACCCAGGAGCAGTTGGACGCGACATCTCGCGCCTCCTTAGGCTTAGAGAATCCAACCCAGAGCTTGCGCTTGGAGGAGGTGAGGAGCTTCTCTCGTGTGAAAGCTTGCACCACACGATGCATCCTGGACCTGCGCGAAGAGTCATCTTCACCCGCACGGGCAGCAAAATTGCACAGGGCCACCGACCGGCGCGGGCCGGTGCAGAAAGGCGGCTCGTCGAACTCCATCTGGATCCCTAGTTTGGAGATGGCCTGCTCGAGCTCGCTGAGTATGCTGGCCTTACGAGTGTCAGCTTCCCAACCTCCGAATACCAGGGTGTTCCTGCGCCGTCCTTCATCCTCTCCCTGGACACCCTTCGAGAGCTTGTCTTCAACCGCTTTGAGCCTGCTTTCGAAACCTTCGACGGTGTATTCCACGCCCTCCACTGTACGTTCCAAAGCCATAAAGCGGGCAGCCTGTCTCTCCTCAAGTGCGTCGAGCAGCCCTTGCGCATGTTCACGGTTCGCCTTGAGGATCTTGGTGCAATTCTGGTCGAGCAGACGCTCCAAAGTGGTCATGTCAAGCGTGAGAGAAGTAGGCTCAGCGGTTTCCTTGCGAGGCTTGGACCGTCCTGTCTGAGCACCCGGCCGCGCCTTGTTCGATCCCTGGGCACGCTGCTTCTTGGCGGGGCTGGCATCGTCGTCAGTGGAACTCGGGACGGGCATCTCTCCGGGCAGGGCGCCAAGCTGGAACCCCGCATCACCTTCGTTCATCTTGGGGAGAATCGGGTAATCCTGGGACCCGGGGGGCTTGTACTTCCGCACACCGGGATGAGCTTGCGGAGGATCACCGTCGCCAGCGCGAGCAGCCGCCGAAGCGAAACAGATGCCCCGTCACTAGGGAGGACGCAGAGTGCAAGAGGAAGAGGAGGGGCACCCCGAGCAGGTTTAAGCTTGAGCCTTGAGCCTATTCTGTTCTTTTCTAATTATTAAGGCTCCGTTTTGCAGGTCTACCACAATCGTTGCAAATCCCTGGGTGATAAACTTAACGAACCCCCAAGTCCTGCTCTAGGATGTAGGGAGTCATAAAGCTTCTCAGCCAGGGACGTCAAAAGAGTTTCAGGGCCCAGAGCTGCTAGGGCTTTGGATGTGGGATTTAGGGGTTGACAAGGCTAGAGGTCCAGGGTTTGGGGTTTAGGGTTCATGGTTTAGGGTGCAGTCCCTAAACCCTTAACCCCCAGATCCGAAACTACCCTTGATGATAAAAATCCTGCACTACGTTAAGGACCCTAGACTATGGGGATTATGGCATAGTCCTTCTTATGGGTAATGCAGGATTTATATCATCATCCGTAGAGATTCAACGTTACAGCTTCTAGCAAGCCTCGAGTTCGGGGATGTGACAATGTCGTGTTCAATCACTTCCGAGCACAGAAGAGCGTACTTAAAGGACCGTGGGACTTAGTAAGACTTAGTAAGTATAGGGTTAATAAGGCAGTACTTCAAACTAACTATGACCCAATGAAGGTACTTATAACCTAACTTCCTAAGGTGAGAGTCACCAGTAAAGACCCCCTCAACTTCGTCTGAGTGAGCTTGTAAGCTGCGGTTTAGCGCTTGGGGTTTGAGAGACCGGGGCGGAACTACTAAGCATGTCATGAACACAAGGATCCCGATCTGACGTATCTTACACACAGTCTCTGAAGAAGCAGACAGACAGTTTACGACGACCTTTAGAACTAACCTCCGGGTATCGTACCATTTTTCAGTACATCTCAACGGACAACGTGGTTCCTCACCCTCTGCAAACCTGGCATGCTCCTGCGTAATATTGGGTCCTGGCCTGTAGCCACAACTATGGGTAATGCACACGCTCTAACAATCTCATAAGGTTTGGGGGCATATGACACGGCAACTATGTTGAGGAACACCCAGGAATTGTAGTTGTACTATCCAACCATCCCAAATAAATTACCAGCAAACCTGCTTTCTCGAGCATCTGCTTCGCTGCAGAAGTGGCCTTGACAGGTGGAGGTAGCTCCAAGGGTACTAGTAGGGTTTACGGCTTCAAGTGTGGGTACCGTTGGGCCCACACTTCTTCCACTGACCTACACTACATTATGTCTAGTTTGCGGAGAGGTCAAGAGGCGCTCAGGTTCGCGGTCTTGGGACCAAGGGTTTACGGTTTCGGGCTTTGGTTCGGGTTCCGGGCAGAGATGTCAGGATTTGGGCGTGGGATGCCCTAAACCCTAAACAATGAAAGCATGTCAGGACTGAGGCCTCAGGTATGATTAGAGGTTTTTATAAAGCCCATAGAGGTTTTTATAAAAACCTATATGATTCCACGTGCTTGCAGGCCTGGGAGTCTGGAAGATGCAGCAGGCTCTTGGGCTTTGTCTAGAGCAGGAGGTGTCGATTTTAACCAGTCCCCAAATCTATCTATGAGTGGGTCTATATTTTTAAAATAAAGGGAAATGACCAATGATCCAAAATCGACACCTAGAATAGAATGTCCATGCCCAACTACTTAAAAGCAGTATGCCACACTCTAAGCTCTAAAGCCCAAAACCCCCAAACTTGCATCATATTGCTAATGATCCCTGATTGCATGGGACCCTGAGCCTGCTTTGTTTGATTCCGTTGTATTGTGAGGATGCAGCGTGTGGGCTTAGGGTCTTGGGGAAAGCATCACCCTTAGCCCCGCATATTCAGGGGCGATGCCGAACCAGCAAGTGAGAGCAAACCAGTACCCAGGGACGGTGCTCCGTAAACTTGGTCTAGAGGTCAGGATTGGCACCACTATGGGCTATTAGACCTTATGGGTACCTTAATCTACCCTTAATAGGATCCTAATAGGGATCTTTAGGGTCTAACAGCCCATAGTGGCAGGGCTTCGTAGACGGCCGCGTTGCATAATTCGCAAGCGAAGCCATACGAGCATCCTCGATCGCGGAGCGCGTAGAACCTTCACATGCCCAAAGGGTCCAAAGTAGCCATATAGTACCATGTAGGATTTCTATGTTAGGAATTACTATTATGATTTGGGGAAGTATTCCCCATAACAGTACCTAGGACCCTTTGGGAATGGCATTTCAACGGACACATCGAGCTAATCTCCAGCCAACACCTAGATTAAACCCAAGGACCTTCGCAATATCTCAGAGTCATGCGGGTTTAATTATGCTCCTGAAACCATAAACCCTAAACCCTGAATCCGCAAAACCCCAAAGCCTAAACCTTAAAGAAACCAAAGATCCGAAACCGTAAGCCTCTCGGCAGGGAGTCATGATCGTGAAGCAAGGGCTGGGTAACGGTTTAGGGTTTAGGGTTTAGGGTTTGGGGTTTGGGGTTTAGGGTTTAGGGTTTAGGGTTTAGGGTATGGTTTCACAAAGTTGCCGCTCCAGACAGGAACCAGAGAAGTTCCAAGTCTCAGGGTTTAGGCCCAGACCTTCCAAAATCCCTTAATTAAGGAATATCCCTTAAATTATAGTAGGATCCTTAATCAATGATTTAAGGTAATTATATTCCTTAATTAAGGGATTTTGGAAGGTCTGGGGGGTTTGGGTGCCAAGATGACGAGGGGTCAGGGTTCAGGATTCAAGATTCCGGGCTTGGGGTTTAGGGTTCTTAAGCTTATAGGTTTCCCTAGGGCTTCTGTCCTGTAAGGCGTGAGAACTTGTCGAACCAAGCTTCCACAAACCCGCATTGGGACGTGTCCAAAAGAGGGGCCTTCACACAGAATACCTATTCAAACTGCCTGCTCATCAGCACTATTCCAGGCAGTCTTGCTACCCTAAACCCTAACCCCAACATCTCTTGCTTATCATGGCAACCACCACAAGGACGACGAAGCAACAACTCTTCTTGCTTCCAGGCTCCTGAAGGCTTGGGGTCTCATAATACAGGGGCCTTGACAATTAGACTAGGGTTTTGGGGCCCTTTATCTATACCATAAGACTCCAAGTAAAATAAGGACCCCCCAAAAGAGCACAGGTAAATATCGAGGCCCCTATACTACTCTCATACACGCCGGCTTCCGTAGAAGGCCGCGCACGACATGCAGCCCGAGCATGTTTAGTACTTTATCAACAGCACAATCAGCATCATCGCCATCATCAAAGGCATTATCACCATCATCATCCTGCTCACCCACCGCAACCGCCACCACCACCATCATCATCATCATCACCGCTACGAATAGCCATCGCCGCCCTCATCTTCACGATCATGTGCACAAAGAGTGGCCTCATCTTTCGCTAGTCTTGCCGTTGTTGCTTGTGACGATAACGAAACTGATGATATTCAGGAAGAGAAGGAGAGGGACAAGGAGAAGGCTGTGGAGGAGGATGCGGAAAAGGATGGGGAGGAGGACGAGGAGGAAGCGGATGATGATGATGATGATGATGGCGACGGCGATGACGCTTGCGGTGGCGATCGTGCTTGCGATAGTGATGGTGGTTGTAGTGATGGCGATGGTGATGGTGGTGATGGTGGTGGTGGTGAGGATAAGGATGAGCATTAGGATGATGACAATGATGTAGAAAAAGAGGATGAGGAGGAGGAGGAGGAGGAGAGGGGGAGGATGAGGATTAATGTGAAGATGAAGATTGTGATGACGACGGCGACAATGATGATGGTGACGATGTTGTTGATGAAGATGATGATGCGCCTGCTGCTGCTGCTGCTGCTGCTGCTGCTGCTGCTGCTGCTGCTGCTGCTGCTGCTGCTGCTGCTGCTGATCGTGACGGTGGCGGAGAAGCAGACGACAATCATCACGATGAAATGACGATGACGATGGTGATTAAGTGTGCAGTGAGGCTCATGACCACCATGATGATAAGTCATGTATTGTTGAGGTGCAAAACCTCGTGTTTCGCAGGCACAACACCTTCCACCAGAGCCCAGCAGGCTTTGGACTTCGAGCCACATGTAGAAAGCCTGGGGGTTCAAGTTTCCATTTGCTGAGTTCGCGGGGTGTGAAGCTCGAAGAAGTTGCACGGAAGCACCTCTAGGGCCAAGGGCGGACCCTGCAATATTCCGGTCAAACTACCAGCCAGCAAATGAAACAAGCTGGCTTGATACACAGGCTCTATCATGATACCAAACAAAGCCTAGAACCAGGCCTGCATGGCTTGCAGTTTCCGGCGTCGTGACGCTGTTGCATGGCCCTGCGCCGCACATGGATGCACAAGCTTTCGGTTTCACACCAATCTAACTACAGTACGCAGTTTGACTGCTTTTTGTAGGTACTAGTTACAGCTGTTGCTTGTGAAACTGTACCATGTAATTAGTCATCGATTCAACTCTCTGATGAACTACAACATACCTTCTAGGTAGCTGCCACTGAAACACAAGGTGCTCTATGTCAGCATGAGTGGGATTCCTCTAACCCGAACCCAAAATCCGAGACCGTTGCCCCAAGTTCTCCTATTCACCGTTTCATCCCTTGTTCCGCCTTTGGGCGTCGTCGGCTGACCCTTGCTGCGGAGCCTTTTCTTCGACATGCTTGAGATTGTACGAAACCCTACTTGTCGGGTATCATGTTTTCAAGGTTAACCTCTTTGGTTATATAGGGATTATATAGGGACTATACTATACTCTACTACTAGGAAACGGGGCAGTGGATTAGGACCTTCCGTCTGTTTATCAACAGGCACCTAACCAGGGCCCTGAGAGACGTTAAAGCTTTTTGGGGAAGGGTGCCTAGATTGTAGAACGAGGAGCTTGGGGTGGGTTTAGGGCTTAGGGTGTTTCAATATCCGAATATTAACAATTCACGGCAGGATCTCGAGAGTTTACACTATTTCCTGAACGTGGTAAAATGACTCAAGAATAGCATGTGCCAAACTCGGCCTCTTGTAGAGTTTCGAGTTTAGGGGTTTTGTGTCGCGGGCTTTGGGATTTAGGGTATGCCCGTTTGGTGGAAATAGTTCTCCAACCATTCCAACCCCAAACCCTTCGAGCATAAAGCCTTACCCCTCGACCGAAAGACCTAAATGCTCAGACACAAGCCAAGCATACGGCTGAAGTGCATGAAGTTTGCAAACGCTACTGACGCTACTGAAGCCAGATTCAACTAGATACTACGAGTAGTCTACAAATCAAGCACACGCACCTCAAACCCGACAACTGCATGCTGAATGCCCTTCTCCGAGCCCTGAGCCCTGAAGCCTAAACCTTCATCCTTCAATCCCGGCTTAAACAAATCCTAGACTTGCATCCATCAACATCATCAACCCAAAACAAAGCCGCAGAAGCGATTCAAGACCTTGCACCACTGCTCTAGACCCGGGATCGGCGCGCTCAGAAGCCCCAAAGCGGGTAGGGCTCTGAGGGGGGTAGGGCTCGGGTTTAGGGTTTAGGGTTCAGGGTTCAGGGTTCAGGGTTTAGGGGAGGGTTCGGGGTTTGGGCTTGAGGCTTTTAGGGTTTTGGGGCTTTGTTGTTCCGGGATTGCGGCGGCGAATTGAAGATGCTTGTGCTGGGTTTGGGGTTTGGAGCGTAGGGGTTCTGTCCCTTTCGGATGCTTGCCCGCCCCTCAAAGCAGAGCGGTTTGGGTTTGAGAGGCATAGCTAATTAGGGAACGAGACCCTCGAATGAGATACCTTTTGCCCCCCAATCCTAGACCCTAAACCCTAAACTTGCAGGATCCTAACCATAGGAAAGCGGATCCTATTAAAGACAGGCGTTCCATTCCTTTGTCTAGGTCAGCGTGCAAACCCTGGCCTAAACCCCCCAAAACCCAGACACATCGTGAAACACCCTTAGACCATTAACACACCCGAAATCCCGGAAACCCCTTTGCCCTAACACCTATCTTTAGCACCCAAAAACTTTTCTTTCCAGGCAGATATGTAAGGAAACCAGAATGGAAACCAGAAATTTGCAACCCTGGGAAAGTACTTTTTTTGATCTTGTGCCACAAGTATATATAACCTAACAAATACCCATAAGACCCTTGTGAAGCCCCTTTGGAGCCATTTGAACAGGGTTGAGCTGTACGACTTTGGCATAAACCAAAAAACAGGGTCGTGACTTAGACGGTTTGAGAAGTCGACCGCCTTTTTCCGCACAATCGACTTCCACGGTTTGAGCAGTCGACCGCCTTTTCCGCACAATCGACTTCCACGGTTTGAGCAGTCGACCGCCTGATTCTGCACAATCGACTTCCACGGTTTGAGCAGTCGACCGCCTGATTCTGCACAATCGAGTTCCTAGCTCGGGGTGCAGCCCAGAAGAAAAAAGAGCTCGAGCCTCGAGCTCTTTTTTCTTCTGGGCTGCACTGACGCCGTCAAGGCCACATGATGGACCGGCTGAGTGAAAACAACGCCTAACATGAACTTAAAATACTGTTTCGTTTGCGCTCCACCATAAGGCCACGGCAAGCTGAGCGCCGAGACCGAAGTCGACCGGCGAGCTCAGGAATGCACCGGGACGGAAGTCGACCGGCAAGCGATGTGGTCACCCCAGTGCTTCAATGTCTACGACCGTTGTCAAGGCCATCTCCGAACCTGGCGGCCGGTCCATCGGCTTGTGGTTGAGACGATTGGCCCAATCGTCCAGCCACATGATGGACCGGCTGTGTGAAAACAACGCCTATAACATGAACTCAACTTTTTCAATGACATGACCTTGACATCAGCATGTCGAACATGCTCGGTCAAGCAGTTCAACGAGAAGGCTCTGTAGGCTACAGAGCCTTCTCGTTGAGCTGCTTGGGAACCGTGGGGCAGCTCCAATGCGAACACCTCTCAGAGGGATTCGCATTCGAGCTGCCCCACGGCTCCAGAACTCCTTTGTACACTCAGGAGGCACGCAAAGTGAAGATTCAGCGAAGCTGAAGGACCGGCACTGTGTCTGGTCTTCCAACCAGCAGCCACGGACCATTTGGACGGCATGGTCGTACCATGTCATCCACCTGGTCGACCTGCTCTCAGAGGAGGGCTCACCACGTCTGCCTGGCAATGAGCAAACGACATTAATTAAGATTGACTGAAAATAGGCACGACCGACGTGGCACAGGATGAATCATGGAGCAAGTGTGCCAATCAGATATTGGGCATTGCACCACACTGCATTTTTTTTAACCGCACTGTTCTTCAACGCGTACAGGCCAAGGCGACCGCCAACATTACTCCACAGTTGGCCACATGCATTCCGTTGCCGACCTGCTGTCGGTTGGGCTGCCCCAGGACCCCATAGTTCATTGCCATTGCTGCTGCCATTTCGACCGGCAGAAGCCATCGGCTCAAACCATCCACCCAAATTTTCGTATTCGTGCGGAAAGTTGGCAAGCGACCATCTTTTGTAGTCATCTTAAGGAAACGTGCAGGGTTTTGGCTGAGATCAAAGACCGGCTCCTGCTCTTTGTCAGACCTGCACTGCTGCCAAGTTTCACGGTACTTTGCCAAGTATTTCTGCTGCTGCCCAGTCAGCAGACATTCCCACGACCGGCTTGGCGTCTGCACCATGTCTAAACCCTTTGCTCTGCGACAGAAGTTCTCCTCTTCTAGAGTCTCCTCGACCGACCCTATGTAACAATCTCTGATGGACAGTCCACCACCGACGGAATTGAAGAAGCTTGTCACGAAATGGTAGACCGTCGGGATATCGGCAACCGACGCTCTCGACCGATGTACTAGCACGGAATATACCCGTGGTCGATTCACACAGGTGAAGCCCACATGGTGTGGCTCGACCCGCAAGTGATGAATGACATACTTTTCCTGCATGAGATCCTCCAGGACCGACGTGGGAAAGCCAGACACGTTTTCGTGCAGTATGACCGGCGGCTCCTGCTTCAACATAAGGGCTGCCCATAGCAGGAGAAGGTCAGACCGACCGTCGGTCCAGCGCCTCTTCTGTCCAGCTCTCGACCATGGCTGGCATGGGCTACCGCTGATGTCGACCGTCACGGGTGGTGGCCGGCATGCAACATGACACCGACATATTCTTGGGACGTTGGCGGCTGCTCTCTTGGCCAGTGCCCACCGCTCTGCGACCGGCCGGTCAGGACCTAGCATTTCCAGAGTCGGAAAGGCATCCCTGATATCTCCAAAGACATGCTCCGACCGACCCATCAAAAGATTCTGGCAGGCCCGTGATACGTCACACGCAGACACGAACTGCAGAGTCGATCTCTTGGCGACCGCCCGCGTGGTGAACTTACACAGAAGAAGTTCTTGGAAGGCCTTGTGCACACGCTCGACCGCCTGCTCAGCACATCCAACACCTGAGAAATGTGTACTGACACGGATTGGGCCAGCCAGCATGGAACCTGGTCAGGGTGCTCAGAAACTGATAACGATTATTATTACTATTGCTCTGATAATGATAACTTATTAGCATTATGACGATTGCAAGAATAATTAATAAACGGTTCTTAATCGATGGGTTTCACAACAGCCATGCCTTGAAGTTGCTTGACCGACAAAATACGACTTAAAGCAATCATCGTGATCTCAGGCCACTGCTTGGCACCTGCCATGCCGCTGCCAAAATTTGCGACCGGCGTCGCATTTGCCTGGTCCACGTCAATATCTGGCATATCTGACGCCGGAAGAGACTCCGACCCACTCTCATCCGGCGACCAGCTCTTCAAGCTTTCGCTGCCTGAACATATCTGGAGGTCGACCGACATGGACTCAGACTCCGAAAGGAGCTCCATCTGCTCCATGTCTAAAGTCTAGTCTCAAGTGAAGTTCTCATGTATATTATAGGTATGATGATACGCTGATGCTGCCGTGCAATGGCTTTGTTCAGTCCCAAGGCTTGTTGCTCCCTGACACGACCACGGCTGCAAGAAACTCTCTAAGTGATGTGTAGTCGATGATGCTATAAGAGCTGAAGCACAGCTGGCAAGTCAGACAGACAGAGTCAAGCAGAAGGCCATGCCATCGTGACAGCATCGCCTTGTGATCGACCGACAAAGGGCTTACACATCGCCTCGTTGTCTTTCTTTCAGTGGCAGCGACCAGCACGGCAACCACGGCCTGGGCCACATGAGCTCTGATTCTTTGTCATTGTACGAGCTAATCACAGGACGGTCAGGTTACTAAAGAAGGTCTGAGCTTCCAACATGCCACCAGCTGGAGATGCAAAGCAACTCGGATCCACGATCGCCCGGCAGTGCCGGACAGTCGTGGGCCAGGGTTGCTTCGGATCTTCATCTTATGGCATTGACCGGCCTGCTTGACTGAAGATAACATGTGAGAGAAATCAGGAGGAGTGCAGCAAACAAACAGCTGGGGGTCCGACGAGACCACTGAAGCACCTAGTGCCCAACCTGAAGAACCACTTTGCTGACAGCAAAATGGTTCTGCAGCTTGGGCACCATGATGGCCTGGTGCTTTGCAAAAGACATGATCACCAACCGAGCTAGTGCTTCATATGCAACACACGGCCCAGTCCTTTGTGCAGCAGTGACCGGCGATCCAGTCATGGCCTGGGTGACGTGACTCACTCGAAAAGTGACCGAGCTAGATCTTGGTACACAAATGCAGTGTTCACAACATCGTCGGCATTTTTCTCAGCAGCGACCAGCTCACTTCCAAAGCTTAGCCCGACTGGCTTGGTACTTCTTGCCATCCTCTGATTCCAGCCACTCTTTCAAGTAGTCTCTCATAACAGAGGAGGCGACCGACTTCTGCTGAGCGTGCAGGACCTGCACTGAGGTTGGCAGCAGTTGCACTTTCCTTGGCTCTCTGGTCCTTCCAGTCAACTTGAATACTGTAGAGTTGTATTTTTTTAACAATTAAGTTGATTCCTTACATTTGATTAGTACATGTCATGATTGAGTCAAATAATAAACTAATACTATGTGCAGGCTGATGACCCGCCAACGACCGCCTTCTGCACAGCTTGCTGGAGAACATCAGGAAGATCACACGGCAATGACGAAGAATGTTGCTGCTGAATGTTCCTCAAGACGACCGACAATCCACCATCGATGTCTTGTGGGAGCAGTGGATCCAGCAGTTCTGCCATGTCCTGACGGCTGTGCCCAGAAAGCTCTTCAAACGACCGTCCAGACAGACGCACAGCATTGTTCTTCTGGCGGATCTGCTCAGTGGGTCCTCCTCCTCGGGCTCGTTTGCGGACCGACATGATCGACCGGCAGACTGCAGCTTTGAGGATTTCATCGCGGTCCGAGCCCAGCATGTGCAGCCCACCTTGGGCCTCAGACAGGCAATTTCAGGCTCGTGTTTTTCTCTGTCTAATCAAAAATACATTGAATAATTGATGAATCAACACTAGAACTAAACAAATACTTTACTATGTGTTTCCAGAGATCCAAGAGCAGGCGATCGACCGCCTGTGCCGGGGTAAGACCAGCACAGGCATCGTACTGGTAATTCATTATGGAACCCAGGCGCTCGATGGCAGCTTCAGGTGCTGCCAGCAGCCGAGTACGATGATGCAAGCGACCGACATGCCAGCACTTTGGGTCTGTTCTGCATCGACCAACTGTAAACCAAGGATGTGCTTCCAAGGATCTAGCGATTGCCACAGAATCAACCGAGACCTTCATTTCGGTCACAACCACCAAGCGCTTAGCCAAGATACCAGACTTCCTCAGACCGACAATAGATATGGACGCATATATATTGTCAGCAAAGGAAGTCTGGGATCTTGGCTAGGCTGAATCTGAAATGCAGACCGGTGGCAGCACCGCCACGAGTCCCTTTGTGGGAACTATGACCGCCCCTGTCTTTCTGCGTTTCCGTCTGTTTACAGTGAGACTTCCGACCTGCGCGAGTCCTCAGAACTATGATAAGGGAAACACAAACCAAATGCTGTTGCATTCCATTTCCAACAATCATGCAGAACACTCCACTCCAACCTGTATTAATTGATCATGTCTTTACTAATAAATAATTACAACTGAATGAATATTGCAAGCGACCGTCGCTGGCAACCTGGAAAGTCTCATACGCAGACACAGGCAGCTGCTGCTGTTGGTACGATCCCAAACAAAGTGAAACGACAGACGCACAATACAGCTGTCCAGCTCTTGAAGCATAGGGCATTTTCTGCTGCACGATGGCCGCCACAGCGGAGAAGACCATGACCGGCCGCACAGTGCAAGCAGTAACGGAAAACCATGATTTAGCCTCTGCTCTGATGACCGGCGGCACCCGACAGTCCTTCCCAAATGCTGCTGCAAGAACACGAGAAAGGAACAGTCTATATTGTGCCTTCATGTCTTCGACCGGCAAATCCCATCGATGTTCGACACCTTGAAACTCAGGGCCCGTGGGCCAAAGTGTGTGCCTTAGGACCGGCCTGAGTGCCTGATACAGTTTCAGGAAAGCATCTCCGTGCCGAGGTTGGGCTTGACCGCCGATCAACCCTTCCCAGTCAAACGCAATCATTGCATTGGACCGGATCTGCAAGACATCATCATTGACACCGACCGGCCCGAGAATTTGCGACATCTCCTCTGTGGCACGACCGGCGAGGGTCTTTGCACTGTCCAGTGCTTGAATCACATCATGGTGCACGATATAAACCTTCTCTGGGATGACACACCGCGACCGCCATTTGCATACACAACGACCGGCCTGTGC